CGATACAATTGAGGAAAGATCAAATGGAAGATCCAGACATCGGAGCAATACTACGGCTCAAGGAAGGTAAGGGCGAGAGACCACCGTGGCAGGATATTGCGGACAGAGGGCTCGTTTTCAAAGCTCTCTGGGCTCAGTGGAATTCACTGGTTATTGAGAATGGATGTTAAAGCGCACGTGGGAAAGTGCGGATGGCAGGACAGTAACAACTCAGTTACTGGTACCAATGAAGAAAGTTACCCAGGTATTGGAAGAAATTCACGGTGGTAAAACTGGAGCCCATCTTGGGGTAAACAAGACCTTGAGCAAGCTGAGAGATCGCTTTTACTGGGTGGATTATTGCGAAGATGTTAAGAAATGGTGTCAACGTTGTAAGATTTGCGCAGCTAGACAAGGACCAAGTACTCGATCTGGAGAAAAAATGGAACAAGATAACGTTGGACTGTCGTTCGAAAGACTCGTTAGGAAGGAAAGATTATTGGGAATTCATAAGGCCGTGAGAAGTAAGATTACGCTAGCCAGTGACCGGATGAAAGCTCGTTACGACCTCAGAGCTAATTTTACGGGATTTCAACAGGACGATAGGTATGGTTGTATAACCCACAGCGCAAGAAAGGAAGGTCCCCAAAGTTAACTCCAGCATGGGAAGGTCCTTATACAGTCATCAAGAGGATAAATGATGTGTACCGGATTCAACGCAGCCCTAGAAGTAAGATGAAAGTAGTTCATCTGGATCGATTGAAGAGATACCAGACAGGAAACCTTGATCGGGACGATCAAATTTGAGAAGGGGGCAATGTCAAGAAAAATGGCGCATCCGCCAGAAATTAAAATGTATTACTGGTTGCCTGCACAACCGCAACGTATCCGCCAGAAATTAAAAGACTTTTTCAGGCGCCATCTTTTAGTCAAGTCGAGAAGTAAGGGAATCAGACAATAGAATTGTCTGGTATGAAGAAGTACGCTTTCCGAGAGAATTGGGAAATTTCGAGAAGCAGTCAATAGAGTATATAAGCCGGAGCCATCGACAACTGAGACAGTTTTTGAAATTTGAATATACCGCGTGGAAATTGAAAATCGGACAATTTGGTGAAGGAATCTTAGTTTGTTGTGTGTTATAAGTTAGTAATTGTGTATAAAGTGAGAAAATAAATTCGTTAAGTATTTTATCGTGAGTTTAAATTAGTGGACCCACGGAATCCGTAACAATATGATGTAGGGTAGACGTGGGGTAGACTCAATAATTTTTTGTTTTATTTTACGTTGACAATAAATGTTGGTAGTTATTAAAATTGTTATAAAAATATACCGTATGATCGAAAAAAAACGGCGTCCAGTTGGCTGGGAAATGACGATCGATGACATTTCCCATATAAATTTACATATAAATTGACAGCGATCTTCATTTCCTAGCCATCGTTGACGCCGTTTTTTCTCGATCATACGGTATAATTCTAATAAAAATATATAAGTTATAATAATATTATTCATTAACACAAACATCCGACACGCTACTGAAGTAGGTAAGTCAAACTGACGTATTTAAATTCTTTGACATCTATGACAAGTAGTAAATAAAAGCAAAAATGGAAAGAAAAATATATAATTAGTTAATTTTAAGCGAATTTCATAAATGATCGGTTTACTACACGTATTTATATTATACAGGGTGGTCCGAACTGTATTCCGGAAACTTCGGCAGTATATTCTGCAGATAAAAATAAGTAAAAAAGTTCGCATAAATGTATGTCCTAAAATGCTTAGTCTCAGAGATACAGGGTGTTGAAGTTTTATTTTTATTTCGATTTTTTCTAAATAATTTCTAAAATAAGGTCAATATATGAGAAATTTGATTTTGATGTCAATATGACTCCTACTAGTAGAGGGCGCCACCTACGTGTGTTTTAACTGTTTTGAAGCGTAATAACTTTTTGTCCGTACCTGTATAAAACTACCGAGCGAAAAAATATACATCACTGTGATTTTTTACGTAAAAAATATCTCTTTGTAAAAATCGCTACGAGCAACCGTTCTTAAGATATTTAGATTGGAAATAGTAAATACATGTCATTATTGACGAAAAATAAACACGTCGAGTAGATAGTTATTTCACTGAAATACCTGATAAATTTGGGAAATTTTTATTTTTTTAAATTAATCATAATTTTTGTGCAAATAATGATGATAAAACAATTTCTGTTGAACATTTGACACAAAAACATTTCAAATTTATGATTTGAGTCTAATACCTATTTAGTCAACATGTTTAATTTATGTCAATGATGACAGGTATTGATAATTTCTATTCCAAATATCTCGAAAACCATTACTCGTAGTGGTTTTTACCAAGAGATCTTTTTCATGTAAAAAACGTCGTAAATGTATATTTTTTTACTCAGTAGTTTTATACAGGTACAGACGAAAAGTTATTACTCTTCAAACCAGTTAAAAAATATGTAGGTGGCGCCCTCTACTAGTAGGAGTCATATTGACATCAAAATCAAATTTCTCATGTCAAGAAACTCCCAGACACCAATTTTCATCCAAATATTGACGTTACTTCAGAAATTATTTGGAACAAATCGAAATAAAAATGAAACTTCTACACCCTGTATCTCCGAAACTAAGCATTTTAGGATATACATTTATACGAACTTTTTTACTTACTTTTATCTGCAGAATATGTTGCAGAAGTTTCCGGAATACAGTTCGGACCACCCTGTATAGTCTTACTTACTAGCGAAAAATTATTCTATTTCCCTCGATTTTTGACCGAGATCTACCGCACGCTACACAACCAACTACATTTTTCGATAAATCGCAATAGTGTACTATTTAAGTTCTGCAACAACAAAAATCCTTCTAAACAATTATCAGTAGTAGAATAAATAATAAATAACATAAAATAAGCTCAGTAAAGACTGACCAATCCACAAAAATTAAATCAAATTCAAATGTGTCAAATGAATCGTCAAAGAGAACTGTCAAGGATCCCCACCCTAGAGTCCTCTATCCGTCCACCATGCATGAGTACATGGATATAGCGTTATACTCCTTCCTTAATATTTTTATTTAAAGAATTTAATAAAATATTTTCGTACTTTTATGCTGGCCGTAAGAGCTTTACTATTATACCCAGACGTTAAAATAACTTTTTTATATTGTCAGTAACGCTTGAAAAAATTATGATAAAATAAAAAGTCACAATAATGAATTTTTAAACAATTTTTTAAATACATTTTTTACGAATGTCTCTTAGGAGGTTCCACAATGTTTAATCGTATCTGATTGTATAACTTTGGTTCAGTTTAACTTTACTGTTTTGTCGTTCATCAAAATCCATTGATCCTGAATTCCATACACATCAAAAGCAACTTTATAACTCATTTTTGTATAATCTGTTCATTCTCATTTTACTTTGAGTTAGGTATAAACATTTTACATATCATTTTTACGTATATTTCGCACCCAGGTAGACAGCTAAATATATGCCTGACCGTTTTCTGTTTTTATGAGCAGATTATTCAAAAAGACCCTAAATTTTAATATTCATAAGTGCGGTCTACGTACGAAATAATTTTCTAATTAATTCCGAATTCTTGTTCATCCGCGAGAGAAAGAGATGAAAACGAGATTGAGTAACAGATTGTAGTAAGTATCTAATCATTATATTTTGCATAATTTTGATTTTAAATTGTTAATTTGTTAACATTTTTATTTTTCGACCATCCATCAACAATAACGGGACAAAGAAACACTTTAATAATAAATTTACTTGTTACTGAATAAGGTGAATAAGTTTTCAATAGATGGTAGACAGGAAAATATATTATGTGACCTCAACGGCAGGAAAAACGGGCACCTTAAAATTTTGATGTATTTTAAAGTTAAATATATTTTGTTTTAGTGCGCCGATTTTGATGATTTTTTAAGCAATGTGTAGCTAAATTATTTGACTTTTTAGTACCTCTGTCCAGGGCCGTTCCTGGCGAGCGTGCAGTGCGTGCATGCACGTAGGCGCAACATTTTGGGGGCGCAAAATCAAAGGGTCAATCAGTACTTTGTAACAAAAAACCGATACGCTTTCTTGTCAATAAACAAATACTTAAACCATCATAGGATAAAGTTTGCTCAGCGTCTTTTTTCCGTTGGCCGCACCGAATAAACAAGTCTAGGGCAATCTGTCGCCAACACATTGATCTCATCTATTTATTTTTCATTTTATGGAAAGCACTGTTCATTAAAATGTTGTATCCTATGTTATAGGGCTTGTTTCTCTCTACAATTTCCTGTCTCACAATGTACCGTTTGTGTCGGGGAAGGGATCATAGTTTCATAGTTGTCGATTTTCGAAAGAAATCAGTACATGTAAAGTACGTCTGCTGGATCTGTGTCTATGAAAGGAATGCGGACAAAAAACATTTAAATCAACAGCAATATACTTTATACGTCGACTTGACGAGTACGTCACCGCAAATCGCTCCACCCACTCATTTTATTGGTTACTTGCAAATTTGTCGAATTTTTGTTGGGATGGGACGCGTCGTCTAATTTTTACGAAAAACATCGAGATAATATCGTTTCCCCTCTCACGGATACCCCGTAGCTATAGAACGAACAGACGTACTGTATAATATTTCGTATATTTTTCATTTTATTGATACTATGGAAAGCACTGTTCATTAAAATGTTGTATCCTATGTTATAGGGCTTGTTTCTCTCTACATTTTCCTGTCTCACAATGTACTGTTTGTGTCGGGGAAGGGATCATAGTTTCATAGTTGTCGATTTTCGAAAGAAATCACTACATGTATATTATTTCGTATTTTTTTCATTTTATTGATTTTATGGAAAGCACTGTTTATTAAAATGTTGTATCCTATGTTATAGGGCTTGTTTCTCTCTACAATTTCCTGTCTCACAATGACATACGTAATAGACACCCTAATTGAAACAAATACGATTTTTTTTCCATTTTCTTTTATTATTATTTTTCTTAAAAAACAACGTTTTATCTACCAAGCGTAATATCTAGATGACAGTCCTCCGTATACACTGGGTACGTAAGAACTGAGAAGACCTCCTCCAGCTGAAGCCGAGGACGAAGCTGAAGCATACGATCCATAACCACTACCATATGCACTCTTGTATCCACCTCCAAAAGAGCTGGAATATAGTCCGGATCCGCTACCGTATGTGCTGTATCCAACTCCGTAATTTGATGAAGAATCACTGACAGCATGGACAGCTACTGGGGCAGCTTCGACAGAATAATGGGCAGTTTCGACAGCTACTGGGGCAGTGTGGACAGCTACTGGTGCACTGTGGACAGCTACTGGAGTTGCTACCTGTAACAGATTAAATGTTGATTAGATGATCTTTTGAAACAAAACTAAAATAAACTTGGAACGCTGTAAACACGTGGAGCAACGGATGTAGACTGACCCAAGTCTACAAGACAGGCGGGGAGCGGCGGGAGGAATTTTGATACGGGCGAAGAGTGGGCCAACTGATATATTTATATTCTTTAAACTGTGGTAGTATTGCTTGATGAGTAATACTGGTGACATTATCAATATATCCGATTATCACATTAACTAAATCTTGCTACAGACTACAGTATAAATATTACTTCACCATTACCAGAAATAATAAATAATTATATGATGAAGTTTTTTAAAGGTGCATATTATAGTTTTAGATGTGCATAAAAATATAAGCACTAGTTGATTAAAACAAGTATAAAGTATATCGTACAAATATACTACTACGGATTGGAACTATGTTGTCTTACCGGAACATATACTGGTTTCTCTACTTCCACTGGTACAGTCCTGGTCACAGTAACCGGATAAGGTTGAGGTACAGCCACTGTCTTGGTGACGTGCACTGGGTAGGGTTGTGGTACAGGTACAGTCTTGGTGACAGTCACAGGGTACGGTTTGGGTACTTCAACAGTTTTGGTCACATGTACAGGGTAGGGCTGAGGTACAGGAACTGCTACCGGTTTGGTAACAGTTTGAATTTCATGGGTGTGGGTGTGGGTATGGGTGACTTGACCTTCAGAGTCTAGGCCGCTGTAACCTTTGTTGTATACTGCTGCGTTGTTGTAGTTTGATGATGCGGAGTTGTAACCGCTACCGTATCCATATCCGGAGCCGTATCCATAACCACTTTCATAATTATTTTTATATCCACTTCCATAGCCACTTCCATAACTACTTTTATAACCACTCCCATAACCTGTTAAGAAATGTCAAAATTAGCTAAAATTTCTTTTAAATATTGTCAAACCAAAATTTAGAAAGTTAGACAGACTTATAGATAAAGGAAACAAATTTAGATTGGAAAGCCCGGCAAAATTTTGGGTCGCAAAATTGTTTTGGGTCGCGACCGTTATACGCGATCTTCCGCTGCTATAGCCGTTGCTAAGAACAACCATAACAGAAATAATTTTCACTTGTCAAAGTCAGAATCTTCAGAAATTATAAAATCTTTCAAAATTTAAACCGCCCTCATTGAAAAAATGCCGAAAAGTATTTAAAGCGTTCATTCCCAAGGTAATTATTGCGATCTTGTGAGTTTAATTTAAACTTTATTTACTCAAGCCCGTGATAACGGTGAAAAAGTGGCATTAAAAACTTAAAAAGCTGTGTTGTGAACTGCAAAAACCATCGTGGATCGTGGTATAACGTCGGTTTCGAATGTTTCATAGGTATTTCATACATGTCCTTATATAAAATAAAGTTTCTTGTATGCAAAACACTATTTTATATACAAAATTAAAAGAAAATAATAATAAATTTGAATATACAATATTTAACGACATAATTCCGGAAAAAGCCCAACCGATCCGAAATTATCAAAAGCTTTGGGTCGCGACCGTTGCAAGAATAGCGTCAAATAGTGTTTTTCTACGACTGCTATGTAAAACCATTGCCTGGAAACTTATAGGTCTGTTCGTTTTCCTGTTATTATCGATTCTGAATCGTCCTAGAACTCTCCAGGGCATGCGCAAATGAAATAATGTCTTCATATTTCCTTCTGCGCAGACACATCACAATTTTAGGACGGTTCAGAATCGGTAATAACAGGAAAACGAAAAAAGCTTATATGGTGAAATTTTGATAAAATAATTTAGTACACACTAAAAACACAGTATGTCGCTAGTGGTAGGAAAAATAATTTTTAGAGGTTACTAGTTTATTTGATTGCCTGTGATATGCATATACAGGGTGTTTCCTAATTAATCTAAAAAATAAAAAAAATCGTTAGAAAACGAATTAAGGCGGGCTCTTAATAAGTATATTTATTTTTTTCTCGACAACCGTTTGACGAACAAGAAAAACTCAAAAGATCAATTTTGTTGAAAAAGGATGGCCAGTCAAGAAAAAAATATATTTTCTTTAAAAAAGCAGTGGTGTACCATTTATGTTAAGCAAAAAATTGTTTTTTTTTTTAATTTTTAACACCCTGTAGATCGGAAAGGAAGTACTTTAGACCCAATGGTTATATAAAAATTGTTTTAAGAACACATGAGGAATCACACCATAATTTTTTTACACTATTTCGAAAACACCCTGTATATTGTCAACTTGACAATGACGGCTGATAAATCAAAAATTACCTTTTCTGTGAAAAAAAGCCCGATTTTCGCAGGAAAAATTTTGGTTTTTATTGAATTTGGGCCTGCGTCTGCAAATACTGGTTTGTTTTTTTAATTTTCTATCTATCTAAATTTTAAATGTCATAGTCAGAAATAGTTTTATTATTTATTAACTGTAAAAATGGTGTTTTCTTGTTGTGTGGCATCTTGCAAAGGAACTAACAAAACTGCAAAAAGGGTCTTGTTCTTGTGCAGAACAGGTCCCCACGAAATCGTGGTTTTTTTAATTTTTAATGTGGATCCCATAGTTAATGGAATGGTTTAAAAGAAAAAAATTGTTGGATGAACCACTTTTTCTACGAAAAAAAATAATTGAAAATTCACTTAAATTTTCACTACATTTCAATGCGAAAACTCCCTATTATAACCTTCATAAAGACAGTAAAATACAAGGTTATGCACAGTGTTGCCATACTCACCTTGTGTAAAATCGACGAAAACGTTCTACTTTATATTCATTTTTTTTACATTTAGTACGCACTTTAAGAACACGAAAAATTAAAAATATAATAAACGAGGCAAAACAAAAACACTATAAAAATAAATTGACAATAAAATCATTACACAGTATTTAGCACAATTGTTTAAAAATATATTTTTCCCGGATTTGTTCAGTAAGATTCCGAAATCGATGTGATCTGCGTACTTCCAAACACTCCCCACCAACCTAACCTAACCAATGCATTAACACCCCCAAATAACCAGGCTAACCAATGCATTAACACCCTCCAAATAACCAGACTAACGAATGCATTACCACCCTCCAAATAACCAGAATATCTAACCTAACCTAACCAATGCATTAACATCCCCAAATAACCAGACTAACCAATGCATTAACACCCTCCAAATCACCAGGCTAACCAATGCATTAACACCCTCCAAATAATCAGGCTAACCAATGCATTACCACCCTCCAAATAACCAGCCTATCTAACCTAACCTAACCAATGCATTAACACCCCCAAATAACCAGGCTAACCAATGCATTAACACCCTCCAAATAACCATGCTAACCAATGCATTACCACCCTCCAAATAACCAGGCTAACCAATGCATTAACACCCCCAAATAACCAGGCTAACCAATGCATTAACACCCTCCAAATAACCAGGCTAACCAATGCATTACCACCCTCCAAATAACCAGGCTAACCATTGCATTAACACCCTCCAAATAACCAGGCTAACCAATGCATTACCACCTTCCAAATAACCAGGCTAACCTAATTGAGCCTAATGACAAAACTTCATTGATTACGCGTCGAAAAACAGTATATATTAAAAAAACTTATATTTTCGTAGAACCTGAAAAATCCGCAAATTTTATTTCAGAAATTGCTTTAAAATAATCCACACTAACGAATAAGCTACTAGACAGTTCAATTTTTGTTGCACTAAAGTGATAACTTACCGTTTTAAGTCCCTCCACAACAACTTTATTTCAGAAGAAAATCATATAAAGTAATTTTATTGACAACGTCGCAAATTCTATACGAAGGCCATAGATGACATACCGATGATCGATTAACTGTCAATCGAAAAAGTCATAAAATTGCTAGCTTGAGCTGATGTAAATAAATATATTTTCTTAATTTTTATGCTTACAAAGAAGATTCGTTACATTTTTGTGCTTAAATTAGATCATTCCACGTCTATATAAGGTAATAAAGTACTAATATGTGATGTTTTTACTGAATCCGTCTAGAAAATTTAACATATTTACTGTCCGTCGCCTGTACCTAAAATACGTTTTTTTGCCGCTTTTTAAAGATAAAACACATTCATCCAACAATTTTTATGCTTAAAAATATTCAGTTTAAGATAATCTTGCAAAAAAATCCCAAAAAAGTGTTAAATGCGTGGGGACCTATTGTGCACCTTATGTATCTTAGATAAAAGTATGTATCTTAGATAAAAGAAAAATATATGGTATGTATTCGTTATTTGATTTTTTTTCGTTCGCTTTAAAATCTATAAATCTCGGTCTATTCATTAGACAGCTAGTCGACTTACGATCATTTACATGAAACTCTGTAAAATAAATAAGAAAATAAATTGTAAAATATATATATTCTTATGTTTTATTGAAGTTACTCTGATATACTAATATATCAGTGTAACTTTAAAAATAAATCCTTTGAATTCAGATATAAACATAAAAAACATTTACAGCAGAAAAGGCGAAGGCGCTGGGTTAAACGTAGTCTTCACTAAAAACACGGAGGGGCGCTTTGGCCCAAAATTTTACTATTAAGTTTCATATCTATCTTTTATTTATGTGTAAAACGTTAAAAAACGCACGCTAAAGTCAATCTGAAAGTGACGTTTTTCACATATCGTGCGCAAATTTTGTAGTGTGCAATCTTTGCGCACGCTTACTCTTAGTGCATCCAACATGTGTCAATTTTAACATTTTTAACACCTCCAATATTTAGCTGAAACGCCAAACGCAACGCAGCCGTCAGAAAAGTGTCATCATTACATCGCAAATTATTCCACAAAACTGGCAAAAATTGAGTCAGTCTGCTGCTAATTTGTAGTCGTAGAAAAAATAGCGTAAAAACTCGTTCGAAAACTTCTTTGTATACTCGTTCGACTTGTGGCTCTTGCCTGCGGCTCGAGTCAACAAACTGTCGAACTCGTGTGCAAAACGCCGTTTTCGAAACTCGTTGTTTAATATACTATTACATTGTCCTTATGGGCATTTTCCAATCTAAACTTGTTTCATTTATCTATGGACACACTATACTTATCAAAAAAGCTGGACTTACTGTTCGCATTGCCTGAATATGCTGATCCTGATGCTTGAGCACCACTCACGACGTTACTGTATCCATGATCTATGTAGGTGGTTCCTAGATCATAATGTCCAATACTGCGTTTAGCATTAATTTTTTCATCAGCTTTTTTTGTTACGCCAGCAGTAACAAATGCAACCAAATAGACTATTCCCTAAAAATATAATAAATCTTAGAAACTGAAGAGTATAATATATTATTTATTTTTATATATCTAGTTTAAATTGGTATACACTGTCGGCAAGAGAGAGTCTTGGGTCGGTATTTATATGTCAATATGAGTAAACGTTATGACGATCTTGTAAGTCTCTTCTCTTTTTAAAAATATGGAAGTGAAGAAAATGAATTTGCCGTTTTTCTCTTGGTTGCCATTTTATTGAAAAATTGCTCTTTATTCAAAATCTGAGCTAGATAGATATAGGAAACCTTAATATAGTTTGAAAGAGCATTTGAATCTGTTTCGAAATATTTTAAAAAATACAGGGTGTTTGATTTGGATTGGTTTGTTGTTGTTAAAATAAATATTTAAAATAGACCAACAGTTTTTGATACCCCTGTATACATTAAACGAAGCAATCAAATTTTTCAGTAAAGTTTATTTCTTTTGCCTTAAAGTCAGCACAAGAATTAATTCTAAAAAGCAATGTACAGGGTGTTGACAATCTTTTTTATTATATAGCATGCATATATAAATACCTTTAAATACCTTGAAAACCAAAGCGTGTAAATATATTTTTTAACCCCCTTAATAAATGTCTTATTTTGTGTCCAAGGATCCAAATATGGCATAAAATATCGGGTGTCCCATAAGAAAAAATATAACTTTGGTGTGGATCTTAGTTCTGACATACCCTGTACATTTCAAAATAATTTTAAATTATGCACATTGCCTTCCCACATATACCAATAAAATATTTTGTTTTTACATCTTTCTGTTTTCGTATAATTAACCGAGGCGAATGAGGTGCGCCACCCTGTATTTGGACCCGAGAAATACGTATATGAATTTTTTTCACGAAAAAAAAATTGAAAAGTATTGGATTTTTTGAAAAATCTTTCAGGTATCTTACAAGTATTTTATATGAAACACAAAAACTTACCTTTGAATTAGTTCAGTACAAACATTAAAAATTACACACTTTTTCTACACTACACAGAAACACTTTTATATTTCACTAAACACACATTTTGCTGACCATAATATGAAATACAATGGAAGCTAATACCTGTGTTTTGGTGTAGTGTGGTAAAATTATGTAATTATCAATTGCGTAACGTTAAAATTTTTGCTCACATTTTTAAAAAAATATTTTTTTACCACTGGTTTAATTACTAATGAGTCACTTATTTTCACTCCAATTAGAGTACTAAATACACTTATAGTTGATATGCTTCAACGTCAAAGTTAATATCTATTATAGGAAAAGCAAAAATAAATAAAAAAAATCTGAAAATGAAGATATCATTTCACAGCTTCATTCAATAAACTGCTAATTTCATAAAATAAAACTCTTTTCCACCAACAAAAATTATAAATTTTTATTAAAGAACGCTATGTTAATTCAAAAACAAACGTAACAGTATTTTCAACAATGAGTACCATATGATCGAATAAAAACGGTATCAGCGATGGCTATGAAATGAAGATCGCTGTCACTTTATATATGTAAAATTATATGGGAAATGTCATTGATTGTCATTTCATAGCCGTAGCTGATCGCTGACGCCGTTTTTATTCGATCATACGGTATTTGAATAGTAAAAGTTATGTTCTACATAAATATATGTGTGTGTAGATTATAATTATTTTTCTAAATGAGTAGTTATATTTTTACTTGCTAATAATATTTATTCTTTATTTAAATAATATAATTATTTTTTTTTGTTAGATGTTATAATTATTTTTTTTTGTTAGATCCTATACTCTGACATTTTTTTATTTCTTTTTAAAGTTTTCCTCTCCCAGTAATTCCTTTTATTTAGTGATGCTTTTCTAACTTCGAAAAGTATTTAGTAGTTTTATTGTTTAATAATTTATTAATTCAATGAAAATGATAACGAATTATTCGATATTTAACTTAATTAACAAAAATGTTTACTTTTTATGATTTAAAGTTTTTACAAAAACTTACCAGAAATGCTTTCATCTTGACGAAGCACTGTTACGAAACTGAAGGGACCTAATATTGACCAGGATTTGAAAAAATATAGTTTTATACCAGGATCTGAAAAATCCAATGACATCACTACTGGCATTTCAGGTTTTTTGGCCTTTTTGCCTTAATTAAAATATTTTCTTAAATATCAATTAGTTCAGAACGAATTAAAACTTAGCATCTTTTAATAATTTCCTTATCCTTTTTATTTCATATAATAACAATTATCAGAATATATTTGTTTTAAAATATACTTAATTGTTCTAAAAATAAACTAAAGAACGAGGAACTAAATATTAGAATCACTAACATATTTCCTCTGACTACTAAAACAAATTACATAATCGTATACCTATCAAAAATTAAACATAAATTATGTAAATTTTTGGAAATTTTAGAACCATCGAAAAAGAATATCAGTCGGTATTTTTATTTCTTAATTCCTATTATATTTCATATATTTTCCATATTAATTTGTATATTATGAAATATTTTAATCTCTCTTATTTTATTATAACTTTTATTACTTGCTATTTGAATTTAAACTTGAAAAAATTTATTTGTTAACTAAATTAGACCTTTTTGTTTCAGGTAAGAATCATAAGAAAGCAAGAACAATTTGAGATATCCTGGTAAGGTAAACTAAAATTATATTAGAAAAATATTTAAATTAATTTTCAAAATTTTTAGTTTTTAATTTTATTTTAAATCTTTATTGGGCGACCATCTATCCAAAAATAGCCACAACTAAAATGAAGGAGGATACTATTGTTTAGGAAATTGTTATTTTTATTTAGTTCTATCTATTGATCATAGATGTCGCAAGCAGGGAGTCGAATAATTTATTTAATTTTAGAAAATATTGTATATTTTTATTAGTTAAATTGTAAACAATGGTATTTTGTTTTCAATTGCTAAGTTAAAGTCTCCGAAATGTTGTATTTGTACAATTTATTATTTAATTTTGTGTTTTAACTTTTGGCGCCATCTAGGCATGGTAAGACGAACATGCATAGTACAGAATACGTGTTTGTTAAATTTTGATCTGAATTCGATTTAGTTCATCTTTTCTCTTATAGAGAGCGCTTTTGTAGACGAAAAGATCGATTGGGAAGCTGTTTTGTTTTTGTATTAATTTAGATGTTTCTTTAATGATTATTTAGGTTTTAATAGCCAAACTCTGTTACAGTGTTGATAATTATATTTAGTTGAATTATCTAAGCCGATTAAGATATAAAGTAAGTATATATTCTCTATTTTTATTGTAAAATAGTGCAATGTTTATTTCTAACCTCTAACGATGTGTTACCGAGTACAAATTAAAGACTTTCTCGTTCTTTTTAGGGTAAAATGGCATTTATGAACGTAGCAAACTATTTGCAAATTATAGAAAGGGCGTGGAGGTCCTGTAACGGTCAAACTTTATCTATTTTTCTCTCAATTCGACATGATCATGCAAAACTCAAGAACTACCACATCGAGAGCCCTGAGAACATAGTTGAGAAGTTTTTACCGGCCCCTATCGATGAACTTGTCGTATATCATTTAAAGTGTTTGTATTCAATGGGTATAGGAGACTTTTTGACTGCTTATCAATTACAGAGCGCGCTTGTTCAAGCGTTTACAAAGATTTTACAGGCACAAAAGGACGAGAATTGGTCATTGCCTATTATGTACACGATATCCTCTGATTTAAGAGTTATAGCTCAACAGGCTGAGAACCAAAGGGTGGGTGTCAATGATAAACCAGGCGAATATTTGGAGAAAGCAGCAGAATGTCTTATGGGATGTTTTCGAATATGTGCAGCAGATAATCGTACAGATGACAGAGACACCAAAAGAAAAGGAATGATGGCCTTAGTTAACCAACTGTTTAAAGTATATTTTAGGATTAATAAACTGCATTTATGTAAACCTTTAATTAGGGCTATCGAATCCAGTCCTTTCAAAGACACATTTTCACTAAGTCAACAAATTACTTACAGGTATTTTGTTGGTCGGAAGGCTATGTTTGATAGTGACTATAAGGCTGCCGATAAATATTTAAGCTATGCCTTCGAAAATTGTCATAAGTTATCAAGGAAAAATAAAAGATTAATTTTAATATATCTTGTGCCAGTTAAAATGCTTTTAGGATATACTCCAAATAGAGTTGTTCTGGAAAAGTATAATGTTCTGGAATTTTGGGACTTAGTTCAAGCAGTGTGCCAAGGAAATCTAAAGTGGTTTGATGAAATCATGGAGAAACATGAGATATTTTTCATTCATTGTGGTATTTACTTGATAGTAGATAAACTGAAGATTGTAGCTTACAGGAATCTGTTTAAGAAAGTGTATTTGATTCTGAACACTCATCAAATACCGGTAGAATCATTACAGACTGCTCTGGAGTTTTTAGGACAAGATGTAGATTTAGATGAGACACAGTGTATTGTGGCTAATTTAATAAATGAAGGGAAAATTAAAGGTTATATATCGCATCAGCATAGAAAAGTGGTTGTGAGCAAACAAAATCCATTTCCACCATTGACAAGCACTTAGAATTATCAAATTTGTTACTTTTTATAATTTAATGTCTTTTTATTATTTAAAAATTCTGTATATACTTTTTTCAATAAAATGAGTTTTTAAAGTAGTTGGTGTTTTATTAATAAAAATAAATGAATTAATCTTTGCAATGTATATTGAATAATCAAATTTAAATAATAATTTGTTTACTTTTTATCTATTTGGATGCTATTCGAGCGAATAGCTTTTTTTAATAATTTTTTGTTTAGTTGATGTTTGAAGACAATTTGGTGAAGGCGTAAAATATTTTACATATAGGTGTATTTTCTAATAGTGAGTAAACTTTTCATAAAGAGACATAAATATTCTTTTCAGTGATTGGAAATGGTAGTTAGTAAATAAGTTCAGTGGGGATTTGCGATAATTCTGTATACAGGGTTGTTCACCACATACGACACGGTGTATTGTAGCTAAACGATGAGATTTTTACAAATTGTAAGTTTTGGGTTCGATGAAGGACTATTAGAGGTACAATTTAAAAATAATTTTACAGTTACAAGATACAGAGTGTCCCAAATAAGTAAAAAATATCAAAGTTGTATTTTTTTAAAACTGTATATTATTACATTTTTAGTTTCTACGATTAAAATAAAGGTAAATTTGATTAAGGTTTATTATACTTAAACCTTACCGTTTTTGAAATATTTTCAATTTTGTGAAATTGCAGTAAAAATTTTAAGGCTTCATTTCTCCAAGGGTATCAAAGTTTTTAATACTAAATATTTACTGAAGTTTATTTACTGATCAGTTATTGTGTTGCAATAATAAAATAATAATACTACCTTATACAGAGTGTCTAAAAATTTATTTTAAATAATTATTAGCTTCAAACGGCAATAACTTGTTTAATTTAAACGGAACACCTTGTATATTTTACGAGAATCAGATGCACAATTTAATTGTCTATCAAATTACATTATACCATTTTTTACCTATCTCTTTAAGTTTCCGAAGAAAATGCATTTTCTTGTAATTTAGAACTTATTTATCAATATACCCATGGAATATTGACATTTTAGATTATTTTTAAAGATGTACCAAATTTTTAAAGAGTACAGATACTAATATTGTCGATATAATTTGTTTATTTTATTAAAAAATAAAAAAACTGTTTAAATATTTGTTAAAGGGGACCAATTAATATGATTCCAGTATTCAAACTACATTAACTGACTGTTTGCGTTGATTAATAATAATTGCTCCAAATACTAAAAAACTGAATTTTGTATGGGTATTAGACAGTGTGATAAAAAGAAACACCTTAAAAATGATATTTCATTTTTTAATAAATACTTATTTATAACAACAGAGACTTTAATTTGATAACTTATTATTATATTGATTTCTGACTCAAATCCACATTTATTTAGAATAATTTATTAACGAACACAATTAAGTATGTAATTAATTAGTATATGGGCGGAAATAATGGTGTTATATTTAATTATGGTATACTCTTTTATAAAGATTTAAATAGTTTTCTTTTTGCATACAAATGGGCTAGTAATATTATCGTTTTGCTAAAAACGATAATATTACTAGTCTGTACATTTTGTACATTTGTTGCTTTAAAAACAATCTAAAATGTCAATATTCCATTGATATATTGATAAATGAGGTCTAAATTATAAGAAAATGCATTTTATACGAAAACTTGAAGGGATAGGTAAAAAATGGTATAATACAATTTGATAGACAATTTAATTGTGCATCTGATTCTCCTAAAATATACAGGGCATTCTATTTAAATTAAAGAAGTTGTTGCCGTTTGAAGTTAATAATTATTTAAAGTAAATTTTTAGACACTCTCTATAAAGTAGTATTATTTTTATTATTGCAACACAATAACTGATCAATAAATAAACTTCATTAAATATTTAGTATTAAAAACATTGATACCCTTGGAGAAATAAAGCTTTAAAATTTTTACTGCAATTTCACAAAATTGAAAATATTTCAAAAACGTAATGTTTAAGTATAATAAACCTTAATCAAATTTACCTTTATTTTAATCGTAGAAACTAAAAATGTAATAATATACAGGGTGTTCCATTTAAAAAAATACAACTTTGATATTTTTTATTTATTTGGGACACTCTGTATCTTGTAAAAATATTTTTAAATTGTAGCTCTAATGGTCCTTCAACGAACCCCAAACTTACAATTTGTAAAAATCTCATCGTTTAGCTACAATACTCCGTGTCGTATGTGGTGAACAACCCTGTATATTATAATATACAGGGTGGCGCCTCTCATACGTCGCAGAGATTCGAAGGAGAACGAGAGTTTGTTTAGAAATGAAATTTTTGAGCATATGTAGGTTAATTTAGAACACTTTTTAATAATATATACAGGGTGTTCCAGGCTGAGCGTGCATTAGAAGTTTCTAGAGAACTACAACATCTAGCTCTGAGATTTTTTGCACATCACAGTTTCACAACGAGATGTATCGATTAAAAATATTTTCAATATGGCGGCACTTCCGGAAATACCGGAAGTTGACAGCAACTTTCTTATTTTAAATGGGTGCCTCCATTTTTTATTACATACTTAAACTCTCTGTAAAATTTTATGAATTTTGATATTAAACACTCTATGCCTAACACTGACCGTTTTTGAGAAAAAAAAATATTTAAAATATTTGAACGAAAAAAACTGCCTGTCAAAAATATCTGTATAGCCTAAACGTCAAATTTAGTGATTACCACAGCCACTGTGCCATAAAGAGAAAACATGTGGCTATCTATATAAAAAATTAAATTGTTCGAATGTCATAATGGCCTCAGCAGCTGTCATAGAATTGAGCGTCCGGATTGCACAACGACCTTAGCGCGTGGCCGCGGGCAGCCCAGTAGGCAAGCGAGATAGCGACGCGCCGATTTAACAAAATAAATAATTTTAAACCTGCCGTCATTTCGTTAATAATTATCCTAACGTGTTGATTTTTGCATAGAAATACTCATAAGTCTTTAGCGCTTCCGACAAGCCCAAATAACTGGATTATTTTTTATATTTTCGATTTGTTTACATTGCCCGAGCATATTATAACTTTGAGATAAAAATCTCTGTTATAAATTTTGAAACTGACAGATATGAATACTATCATTTAATTAGTCATACATTTAGTTACAACATATTCAAAATTTAGGTCTATCGGTTTATACTAGCAGTAATAACGAGTATAAATAAAAAAATGGTCAGTACAACGCTCGCCGTTTTTAGCGCACGTTCAGCTTTGGTTTTAGTTTTAGCGCTATTTTTACAGAAAATAAATTCTGAACTTTGATCAAATGACAAGAACATTATCATTGCCGATATCTCCTGGTTATAATGTAGTTCTTTTTTCAAAATATTGCATTGTTTTAGCTTAAAAAAAACTTGAATTATGCGGCTTTTTTGCGAGAGCTACCCGCGCTGCGTTAATAAAGAGATGGCTACCCAAGTAGCATTTGGACGTTATCTAACGTCGGGTATACGTCGCGTTCAATAAACCCGACGTCGGGTACCAACGTCGGTTCGACCGCCTGACGACCCTTATTTGCACCTAAATGGGGAATACAGATTCGGGTCGCCTCGACGTCGGTATCTGACCTAATAGGGAATGTAATTCTTCCAATTACCAACGTCATATTACGTTGGATTTTAGTTACTTAAAATTCGTCGCTAAGCACTTACGTTACGTTTGGTTTCATATTCGCTACCAAAAATACATAAAAACCTAACCAAACTACCTAATTACAAATGGATTCATAATCACTCCTCGAATATAACTAGTGCCTATCTAATTTCATATTATAATAATTCTGAATCATTAATCCAGACATCAGTTTTGTCAACGGAAGTCACTTTCTTGATATATCTGGTTAAAATACTCCGCAAAACAACGAGCGCCTTCAAAATTAGGTAGATTTATGAAATAAAAATATCTATAAAAAAGTAACTCGTAAAATATTTTTTTTATTTTCTAGCTGGTTTAATCATAAAACTGTACTGTGGTTCCCCCCAAACTCAACCTTATCAATATTATTCTACTAGAAATCGAAATGTGAATATACGTATATAAAACAAAAAACGATTTTAAAATGGCTGACAATCGGATACGTGTTAAGAATGGCGGATTTCTGTGTCCGACTTAATATGAACTACTAATATACCAATTCCGACCGGGTCTCCAACATTAGTCGTCTCACACGACGTATATAATTCCAACGTACGCCACGTAACCTCACTTTGCGTATCAGTGATTTGTGGATTTGTGCAACTATATTTTAGTTTTTGTTTTCTCCTTAAAAAAATGGGCAGCCACTTTTTTAAGACTAACCTCACATGTCGGAGGAGGATGGGGTCTGCTGGTTTCCTAAGCTAAGAAATGAAATTAAGATGCATCAGTGTAATGCAGCATCTCTTCCAGATAAAAAACATTTACGGGTGGAGGCAAGACATCACTACTACTATTATTATTTTGCAAAAGCCTCGACCTCTTTCTGTAAAATGTAGATGAATGTCTAAATGCCTTTTTAGTGTTTTTTTAGGCATAATAAAAAAATTAAGTTTGTTTACAAAAACTTTTTATTAGGTTATGTTCATGATGTTCATTAGGTCGCAAATGCTACTTAATGGGTTGTATTTACCGACGTAAATAGAGATACGTAAATTAGGTTATAAATATGAACATAAAATAGAACAAAATATAATTGGACGTTACTTTACAGATTATCAGTAAGACGTATCCTATTCGGATAACGGGTAGACGTCGGGCTAGTTCAAGTATATGTACGTCGTGCAAGCCAACGTGGGAACGACGTTGGGAAATTAATAAAAATGGTACGTTGTTATTTTGTACGTCGACAGATCGTTGGATTTACCGACTCGGATCTAACGACGTCGCTTTTAACAGGAAAGCGACGTCATAGGTCGCATCACCAGCACCCGACCTAAATTTGCACAAAGTCTGACGTCGCTTCAGGTCAGATTTAGTTCGAAGTCAGATAGATGCTACTTGGGTATGTACGTCAATCGAAAGACAGTATTTGCGATAGTCTTTTGTTTACACGAAGTATAGAAAAT